AAACGGTAAATTCCCTCAAAGAATGTAGCTCTTGGAAGTGTGTGTTTCGGTGTCCCTGTACAGATTATTCTTATAAACAGTACAGCATATGGTTCTTATGAACTTCAAATGTTTATTTTTTTAGAAACTTTTTTTATGGAACTAATAAATGTCAAAATACTTGATTCTATTTTGGAGAAAAAACAAGCTCTAGCTTTTCAATATTTTATGTTTTTTAAGATACTTACATTTCTTAGTGAAATAGCAAGTTCTTTTTTTTAAAAGGATTTTAATTTTCAGAACAAAATTAAAAGTGCAAAGTATGTGACTGGAAAGGGAAGGGGGACATCTGGCCTTTTGCATGGCCTGATCCCTTGATACTTTCTTTCATTATCTGTCTAGTGTGGGAAAACAGATTTGAATGTCATGGACATAAAATATAGTATGCCCTTTTGCATTCCAGTTATAGAACCATCAGGTAGATCCTTAATATAGCCTGGTTGCTGCTGCTCCTGTTATTTTATAATACGAATGTTCCACTTGATAAAGTTACTAAGGGCGCAATTCTGTGGCCTCCCAACATGATCTAGGACTTTTTGGAGTCCGAGTATCAAGGCCCTCCAAAAGCCAAGCCCTCGTGTCACCCCCTCACAGCAAACACACCAGCTGCCCCCTCCATGCTCACAACCAGGTGTTGGAGGAGGGGAAAGGGGTGTGCCAAGGAGTGGAGAGGAGAGAAGGCTGAAGCTGAGGAGTTGCACCAGTTTCAATCAGCACCTCATCCTCCTTTCCTCCCCTTCCTAGTGCTAAACTTTGACAGCCAGAAATGACTACCTTGCTTTGGATGCCAATAAGCCTTTGAATTCAGAGACTTACAAGCATCTGCTGCAAAGGCAATAGGATTGCATTTGAAGAGGTTTACATGAAATGCAACAGGGTGACTGCAGGTCAGGGATCCCCTGCAGGTCAGGGAAAGCTTGTGTGCATAGGTGTGTTTTGCCACTTATTTCTGCCTCTGGAACCACACCTGGGAGAGTGTTCCGAAACTGACAAAATCTGCTTACACACCACGAGCTGCTTTACATCACTTTTTGGGAAAGCTCTATTTACTTGACTTTAAGAATATAACTGAGATTTTTCATAAGGTGAAAAATAATTATGATTTTTGCAAGGGAAATCTCACCCTATTAAATACTACATCTGGTGCTGCTATTAGGTTCAGTTTGATGTGACAGCTGGCATTATCACCCAGTTTTTCTGAACCTGAGAAATTATTGGCAGAGAGCAACATTTGCAGAGCATTTGCTCCTCATCACCTTAGGCAGTTGTCTGGTAAAGGGATGAAGTAAAGTAACTATCCTTTATCAGGTCCCCTCAAAGTGAGGCCCATATAAAAGAGGTCATGGGAGAAATAGGCTTTGGGATCATAGGACAACAAACCTCCAGACTGGTGGTGTTTCTTGATCTTCTGAATGCATATTGGACCATTTCCAGCCCAATGTTGTTCTCGTATGAGAAAAGCCTCCCTCTTATAGGACCAAAGTATTCATCCATGGCTCCATGGAAGGCAAGCTTGACAGTGATGAGCTTATTACAGAGAAGAATTAGCAATGGACTCATTATACAGAGCTAATTATAACATAAACAACTCTGCCCATTATGTCAACTGGTATACTGGTCCCTATACATCCTCTGTACAGGCTGAGTTGTAACAGTGATACCTGATCTCAGTCTTCTGAGGGTTTTTATCTTAGGATGCCTTCCAGAATTTCAGAAGAAGGCATAGATGCTAACGCTAAAGTTAGACACCAAGTCATGTGCTTCTGAATAAAAAACAGTAAGATAAAAACAATGAAAAGTATATCTGGTACACATAGATATGATAATATGTGCATCCAGAAGCATATGATGAAAAATAGTCAAGGGTGACTGGGAACTGGTGAGAGTGAAACAGAGTTGATGGAGTGATCTGGGTAGGAGTTGCTAGCAAAAATGCAACTTGTACATTATGGACTGCAGAAGTAATAGTACTGCAGACTATCATTCCTGGTGGTGGAAATGGAAGGGGATTAAACATTCAAGAGTTTCTAGCAGCAGTCCTGTGGCGTGATCCATCTGGTACAAGTGCTACCAGAGGATGAGACAGATCTAGAAAAGTGATATTGTAGGCTACTCACTGAGTACTTCAGTTTTCAGTTTCATTGCTCCTTAATGACACTGCCTTCTAAATCTTCTTAACATGCAGTTGATGCCATTGTAACCTTAAGGATCCCTTGACTGTTAATCCTGCCATTTATTTTCTGTATCAGTATCTGATCACTATGGGGTGATTGGGCCCCTTTAAAACCCAAGCTGGAAATAAGGTTATCAATCTGTTTCCAATGGTGTAACTGCCTGTCATGATTTATTTAACTTTGGGTTACCAGGGCACTTGTCATCTGTCATTATGAATAAAACTGGCAGTATGTTTTAGGGTTGTATGAAGGTTGTTTAACCTTCCAATAACCCCGACCACCCAGGTTCAGATAACAGGGCAAGCCATGGCAATCCCTGAGCAGGGCTTGCATATTCACAGTGGCAGCCTACACACACTGCAGCTCCTTACAGGTAAATTAAGCCATAATGGAATATTGTGTTGTGCAAACTTTTGTTTTTCCCCCCAGTAATTTTAAACCTGTTACTGTATTTTAAACCTTTGTATTGGTTTTTGCTTTTATACTATAGTTTTAAACCTTCATATTTTTTCTTAGGTTATATTTCTTGATTGGAATTGTGAATTGCCCAGAGATCTTTGACTATTAGATGATATAGAAATGTAATAAATAAACAAAGGGGTCATTGTTTGATTTCAGTTATTCAGTTCACATTAAAATAGATTCTGTTGATATCACTTTCCAAAACCATTGTCTAACACAAAAGTCAGTGGCATAAAGATAAGCTTTTCTCTCTGGAGTTGCTTCAGCATTGTTCTTAGATGTTCAGGTGGCCTCTATTGAATGAAGTGCCTTAAACTGACTTGCTACCTGGATGGAAATTGCTTGGCTACAGCTACCCATGCTCTGGTAACCTGTTTAGACTATTGCAGTGCATTATGGGTGCTTTAAGAAAAGTTAGGGCACTGCCATTGGTCCAGAATGGGGCCAGAGGGCTACTGATTGAGCCTCGCCATTTGACCATATTATTTTATTTATTTATTTATTTATTAAAACATTTTTATGCCGCCCCATTCGCCGAAGCCTCGGGGCGGCTTACAACAATAAATTACAGTAAATATAAACATTAAAAATCCAAAAAATCCAATATCAAATAAGCCGCCCTGGCCAGATAAGATCAAATAATACTAACAGTTAAAATGCTGCTTAAATAAAAAGGTCTTCGCCTGGCACCGAAAAGCAAATAACGACGGCATTATGCCTGTTCTTTGTCACTAATTGGGTCCCAGTTGGTTTCCAGGTCCAATTTAAAGTGCTGGTTTTAACCTTAAAAGCCTTTAATGGCTAGGAGCCAGGCTATCTGAAATACTTCCTCCTCTCATAACTCTAATTTAAGATCACCTTCAGAGGTCCTGCTGCAAGTCTAATAAACCTGTCCAATAGTGTCACTCCAGTAGCAGCCTCTTTTGCCTTCCGGGAGAAGTTTTTTGTGCTCCATATCTTTGGTCTTTTCCAAAGTGAAGACCTTTTTCCAGAGTGCAGGACATGGAATAATCAATTCAAGCTGCGACCACCCAGATTCAGGCTGGACATCAGGAAAAGCTTCCTCACTGTCAGCGCAATACGACAGTGGAACCGGCTGCCTAGAGAGGTGGTGGCCTCTCCCACACTAGAGACATTCAAGGTGATTCTGGACAGCCATCTGAGTGGGATGGTGTAACTTGGTGTCCTGCAACAGCAGGGGGTTGGACCTGGTGGCCTTCTTGGCTCCTCCCAGCTCTACTCTTCTGTGATTCACCCAGGTCTGTTAAGTTACACATGTAGTCTGGGCCTCTCAGTTTCAAAATCTGTGTTTAAAATCTCACAGTGGTTGCTGTGAGTTTTGTTTTCTGTTGCTATATTATGCTACCTTTAATTTTATAGGGTAATGCTTTATTTTTTTATTTAAACTGTTTTTTCTTTTTCTAACATAAGCCACCCAGAATGTTATGCTATTGGGCAGAATGCAAACATAATTTAAAAACCCTGGATTTCAAATCCTCATTAAGAGGGAACTAGCTGCTCTTGCCTCTGATTGATTTCAGTGCCAGCATCAAATTCAGTCATGGCCAGGGCTGCTGGAGGAGGGGGAATTATTTCAGACAGGAGTATCTTAACCACAGTTAAGAAGTTGCCTTTGTTGTATTTGCATATGCCATAAATGTAAGGTAGGGGTATATGTGTTTACCAGAGAGCCAGCATGGCACAGTGGTTGGAGTGCTGGACTGCAATTTGGGAGATCTTAGCCAGCCATGAAACTCACTAAGTGACTTTGGCCATTGACTGATGTTCAGTCTAAGCTACTTCACAGGATTGTTGTGCAGAAAATATCGAAGGTTTATGATATTACCTATCTTGCATTCCTTGCAGGAAAAACCTGGGATGTTAATATAAGAAACAGATTAAAATAAGGCCAAACAACTAACCTGGCATTTTCTTTAGTTTTTTTTCCTTCATTATAAAATGCAGTTTGACCATTTTAGTCTAAAGGAAAGTTGCATAAAGCTCATACGCTTTGAACAATGGCCTGGATTTGACAATGACCTAAAGACTTGGCATTGTCCAGAGCACTTAAAATTCCTTGCATCTGGCCGTTGAAGCAGAGTTGTGGCTCAACTTTCCCTCTGTTTAATTTCCTGATGTCTAAACCAGCTTCAGCGTAGGCATGAGCAATTCTCCTCCTTAGATGTTAGTCCTTCTGAAGAAACCAAGTACTGTTAAATGAATACCAAGATGACAATGAACAAAGCTACTCCTTTTCCTTCATGTTCTCCATTCACTGTCTATACCTTTTCCCCACAATGACTGAACCACGTTTTTCCTCTCCAGAGTATACAGCCCTGCTGATTCACAAGCGACGGTGTTTGCAGATGTCTCTCCTTTGCTAACCTCTCTGTTGGATGGGTGAGTTGAAAAGTGAGAGCAAACACTTCTGGTGGGATAACAGTAACCTTGGCGGGGGGCATTTTTTAAAAATGAAGCAGACATACTACAAAACCTACTGGGAAGATACTACGCTTGCTGCAGGAGTAGGACAAATGCCTTGTTTCCCGAATGATAGTCTGGCATATTAAAACTGCTGTGAATTAAAGACCGTATGATGGAACAGGACCGTACTAAATATAGCGCTTACTAGTAGGAATCAGTAACGCAGTGTTGCCTCTTCCTTTGAGTATTGTTTCTTGAAGAGAAGGAGGGGGAGGCAAGAAGATGCTCACTGTTTTCCCCAGATTTCAATCCCTCGATTTTCTGTACAAATAAGCAGGCTTTCTACCAACCCCAGCGCAGTTGGTGCGCACAGATGGGGGAAACATCATCTGCCTTAAGCCAGCTTCTGTTTAAAATTGCGGCCTTGAAACATGACTTTTTCACAGCCCTTCAGGAAATGTTCTGTTGTTAGAAACAGAACTACTTTGGTCCTTTTTGGGGGATACTCAATTTAAGCAAAAGCAGATTGTGGGTCTGGAAAAGATGAACTCCTTATACCATCCATGTTTTTGATCAGCTTGTGTTCTGTATAGCATGGAACAGATGCAACGTATTGAATTGGAGCCTACGTGCCCCTTCTTTATTAGAAGCATGAAACACTAAAGACTTATTCAGGTGTACCCATTCTGGCTACACTCAGCACATGAGGAAATGAGTGTTCCAACTGCAAGCATTGGTCTCCCCTTGCGTGGGTGCCTGTCTGAAGAGGAGAGCCTTATGTATCTGCGGAGGCTCTCTACATAAGCTGGAATGCTGGGAAGCCTTAGAAGAATCTTGGTGAGGCTTCTGCACTAGAAATGCAATCCAAAATCAGTGTCCTTGAAGGCTGACATCCTGTATTAGACAATCGGCTGCAGCTCACCGATTTGCACCATGGTTGAATTGGAGGCCATGGCTCCTTAGATATCTTCAATTAAATCTTGGAACCCTCCCTCTTCTACCAAATATGCCGCCAGTTATTCACAAACTGCTCTAAATGAACAATGGAACATAATAGGCATCTTGCTTTTTTCTTTTCAAATGCTGGCTAGCCTCCTTGCTAGCCCAGAAGAGCATGGATACTGCACAGACTTTTGTTTTTCAAGAGAACCTTCCAAATATTGAGTGCTGCGTCTGCAATGCCCTGCAGTTTCTTTCCTCTTCCCGTGTCTCAGTCATGCAGTTACTCCCCTTGTGTGCTTGTCTGTGTACACGTACTGTATCTGAATAGCCATGCTTTTCCTTTGCACTGCATGCCATTTTCTTCAACTCTGTGTCAAGGTGGTTCCTGGAACACTGCCAGGAGGTATCTAAAGAGGCAGGCCCATTCTGCAGTTTGGGGGAATGCATCTCTATAATGCAATCTGCTGAGAGGATGACTCTATTGGGAGTTTGCTTTCTCGGGCATCACCAGGTATCAGCATTCCATCAGGCTGCAGCAGAGGGAAGAAGAAAGGAGCATGGCCATTTTCTCGGTTTTACTGAAGGCCGAGCCATCCCATACTCTCACTCTCTGAACTGTTTCCATGTCAGTCCATCACTGTAAGAACTACTATTTAGTATCTTCTTTCCTCTTCCCTCCCTGCCTGCTTTCTATTTTCTGTTGTGTCAGCCTGAAGGCAAGTACAGTCTGGGAGTCTTCAGTGAATGGCCAAAATAAGAGTGCTGAAAGGAAAGGACGGGAAAGGAAGGGAAAGGCTAGGGGATTTTACTGCAGGGTAGGGATGTTCAGCAGAAATCTCATGAGCTGGATCTGGTTCACAGAGTAATTTTAGCCGCCACTCTCCCTGCCCCCAGCACTCTTATCAGACACCACTCCAGCTGTAGTAACAATCTTGTTCACAAAGATTGCTTCATTTGAAAGATAAAGCACAGCACAGCCGCGAGATTGTGCCTGGCTTTCCTGCAGGAGCGTGCCTGTGATCATGCACGCCTTCCCTGCACGAAAGCAACTGTGATTGTGGACATCTCCCCTCTTGGGGGCAGGGTGGGGGGGAGATGGCTGCGATCTTGGTCACCACCCAATGCAGAGTTCGCAACCCAGCTCAAAATTTTAATGAAATTTTTATTCGTGACCCGATTTGTTCATGAACCAAGGCGTTCATGAGCCGAGGTACCACTGTATAGTCAAGGCTGTGGTTTTCCCAGTGGCAACATATGGCTGTGAAAGCTGGACCATAAGGAAGGCTGAGCTCCGAAGAACTGAGGCCTTTGAATTGTGGTGCTGAAGGAGACTCCTGCAAGTCCCTTGGACCGCAAGGCGATCAAACCGGTCAGTCCTAGAGGAGATCAACCCTGACTGCTCTTTAGAAGGCCAGATGCTGAAGATGAAACTCAAATACTTTGGCCACCTAATGAGAAGGAAGGGCTCCCTGGAGAAGAGCCTAATGCTGGGAACAATTGACGGCAAAAGAAGAGGGGGACAGCAGAGAATGAGGTGGCTGGATGGAGTCACTGAGGCAGTTTGTGTGAGCTTGAGTGGACTTCGGGGGATGGTGAAGGATAGGAAGGTCTGGAGGAATGCTGTCCATGGGGTCGCGATGGGTCGGACACGACTTCACTGAACAACAACAAAAGGAGTTGCCGTGTTGGTGGGAAGATGTTGTGTGGAGTTGTTAGAAAATCAGAAACAGTGACTTCCTCCAACTTCTGGATTAGATCATTAGTAACAATTTTAAGAACTTGCTACCTTTTTGCTTTGCAGGTACAACGTGTGTATTATGGCTTATGGGCAGACTGGGAGTGGAAAAACATACACGATGTTGGGCCCACATTCTGATGATAATTTCTTTTTCCCTATGGAAGATGATCCAGAGTTAGGAATTATTCCTAGAGCCACTGAAGAAGTGTTCAGGTACTGGTGACACCGAATTGCACTACTTTTTTTATTTCTTTCATGCAGTGAGTTTTTATGTGCCTCTGAACACAAAGATTCTCCAGGAGAGGCGTAACAGTGGTATGCAGGTGAGAGCAGAAAAAGCCAACAATCCACAACAAAGTAAAATAAGAAAGCATCCTAGAAGGCACTTTGCCTAAAAAACACCACACCACACCATGATTGGGAATGTTATCAACAAGTTTTCTATACTGGATCTCAGTTTTCTGAAAGAGAGAGGAAGAGTCAGATGGGCGGCATTTTAATATTTTTTGTTTCACATTAATGTTGATTAATTGTGATACTGTGATTAATTCAGTGTGGCTATTTAATCCAGTTATCAATATGCATATATAAAATCAGTTGGCAAGCATTTGTTGCCATTTCCGCATTTAGCATTATTTATAATTCTCTTTTTGTGGTATTTCCGGCATGGTTTTTCTGCACTATCCCATCGTCATTGCAATGTCTGGCATTTTCTCTTTTCCCTTATTGTTCTTTGTGGTTCTCAATCAGTGCTTTGTACGTTCACTGTAGTTATGAGCTTCCTCTTATTACAATTATGAGGCTGTTCTTTGAATTTGGGAGCAGACTTTTTAAAAAAATAATGCCAGATGTGCATGCAGGCTTCTGTGTGCCCCTTTAGATACTGATTCAGACTGTGCGATTGCAAGGATTCATGGGAGAAAAAATGTGAATGAATTTCTGTTAGTAAAAACTAATGAATAAGTGAGTTTCTGTTAGTAAAAACTAATGAATAAGTGAGTTTCTGTTAGTAAAAACTAATGAATAAGTGAACAAGTGCACAGTTTGGCTAAACCCTGATAACAGGCTCATTTGCATGACTGGCTAAGCTATTCTGCGAGCAAGGCTCACAGAGTGGGTTTGTGGAACAGAGGTTTGGGCTCACCATGGCTTGTTTTCCCCTGCCTCCAGTCAATATCCCAGTGTCCCTTGTGGCAGAGAGTGTCTTGTGTACCCCTCCCTCCTCCAATCACTACGTTTCTTCACCATTTTTTAAATTTGTAGGAGCTTCAAACTAACATAATTTGGGGAGTGTTTTTCAGCGTCTTAAAGCTCCACAGCTATGTCAGTCATTTTAATTACTGCTACCACCCTTACGATTGTCAGTCTTTCATAGATACACAATGCTTACTGCTGTCTCATATGAGCAGCCTGGTCTTGTCAACAGTCTTGTAACGTTTCAGCTGTCAGATGGAGCTCTGAAAGGGAGTGGGTCACACACATGGAAACTGACACACTGAGAGTGCATGTAGGCGCACAGTTGCCAGTTGTCGACTGAAAGTAAAGGGGAAAAGGTGGTAAAAGCACATGCCCTGAAAGCAGGTGGTGCCAGTATCACCTCCAGAGCAAGGTAATCCTCTGGTTTTAAGTGTCGACCTAACAGCGCTCAGTACTTTTCAAGGCTTCCCCAAGTCTCCAGCTCCTCCAGGAGAGACGGTCCCTGTGGGAAGTGGGCAACACAAAAACTCACCACTTACAGGCAATGGGTTGCATGCCATGCAAACCCAGCTAATAAGTTAAATCCAGATAAACAACAGGGGGAAAAATTCTTGGTGGCTATAGTATACTGCAAACCATTGTATGAGAAGTGGAAGGCAGCGCTGCACAACACTGATGTGGCCCAAGCACACGCCTCAAAATGTTGTGCAAGTTCTGCAAGCCAGCACCCTGGGAGGTTGTGCATGAGACCCTGTGCAAGGGATTGCGAACTGCCTGTACAAGCAGGCGTCCTGTTTTCTCACAGGAGGCTCTTGTGCTAAGGCAGGAAAAGCTTTGCAACTCATGGGAAAAGCCTTTGATTCATGGAAAAGCATTGCTGGATCCAAGCTAGTACGTTCTGATAAAAGTGAAGGTTATTGTTTCTTTGGAACTAAAAGTTAAATTAACCGGGACAGAATAAAGTATTTGGGTGCAATTTTTATGGCCTGCTGGCAATATATTCCATTACCAACTCTGTAACAATTAGCCCACAGAAACATTGATTTATTATTTATTAAAACTATTTATAGAACACCTTTTGGTCACAAAAGATAACCACATCTGTCATAAAAAAAAGAATTCTGGGAGCAGGAAGATCCCTAGGAGGCAGTGACTTCCCAATGCTGCTTTATGTGTCCGAGCAAGATTTGAACATGTGTCAAACTGCAGCCTTCTGTGCGGAATACCAGCTGCGGCTCACCTTGTGTGTTCAGGAAGACTGAACTGATAAACCTCAGTAACAAGTTGATGATAACCCTTTCCTATTGGTTGCCCATAGTGGGGGGATGCAGTGCTGCTCCCCACATTTGTTGTAGGAACCTAGTGGGAAAGCAAGAGTGCAGTGTGGAGTGTTCTGCTTGCATACAATTAACTGTCTTGACTTTAACTGGCACCTAGTGACACAGTTTGCTATATTTTCGCTTCCGACACGTGTGCAGTAAGGTGTTTAGAGCCAGAATTGGTGGTCCGTCTTCTGGAGAGTGTATCCTTCCCGTCTTGCAGAGCTTTGCTTGCTGTCTCTCACTTCACTGCCTACAGGAGCCTGGTGACCCACCAGCAGTCTGCTGCTGGACACTGGCCCACCATCTGGAAATCGCTGTGCTGTATTTTCAATGTTAAAAATGTGAATCTCGCAATGCCTTGGCCCCCTGCTTGCTACTTTACTCAACAAGTCTGTTTTTCTTTTCAAGTTCTGCTTTTCATAAGAGATACTACTTGGGAATAGAGTATCTATTCATGACATTTTCTCAGACTATGTGAAAATAAAGTGTGCAGTCAAGATTGTTCCAAGATATCAAAGCCACAGCCGTAGGAGCTTGGTCAGATTTTAAAAGTGCCCGCTTTTTTTCAGAAAAGGGAATGCCCAGGGTTACAGATCGTTGGTATTTAGATAAGCACTTCAATCAGGCTATAATAGTTGCCTGGATCACAGGCTTTGTTTACTTAGAGTTCTGTTACCGTCTCTTAACCGCCCCCCCCACGCCCCCACCAACCCCACCTTGCTACTATTTCCCAGACTTCTTTCAGAAAGGCCACTCGAAAGCCATTGTGTTGAGGTGTCGGTTGTAGAAGTCTATAACAACGAAGTGTTTGATCTTCTGGCCAAAGACAACTCTGGAAGGACTAGTGGTGTCAGAAGGGACATCATCACAAACAAGGAGGGGAAGAGTGACATCCCACTGCTTACCCACGAGTGAGTACTTGGGTGGGTCCACGGCCACATTCTTGGCAAAGAATGACGATGACGCACGTGCCAGCGCCACACAATGTTAGCTCTGAACGTCGTTCGCATTGGCTCACTTTCCATACTGATTTGTGACTTGGTAACCTCACCTCTTCTGAATGCCCCCTCTCCTGTTGATCTCGTCAGCTCAAGTTTTCCAGGATGCTGCAAATCTCATAATCTATTTGCCTTCTGTGGCTGTAGTGTCAGTTTGCTTATAATTGGAAACTTACCATAGTAGAAAATTAGAAAGGCCTTCTGGAGATGAGCTGCTGCTGCTGCTTTTAAAGCTATTGCTTATGCTGGAATTCCAGAAAAACACAAAACTTGTTCTCTTCCCAGTGGGAAAGAGGGGTTGTCCCCCTCTTTTTAAGCTCCTGCAGCCCCAGTGCGCAACAGTTCTTCTACTCTTTGGAGTGCAGAGGGGGAAATGACTGAAAGTCAGACACAACAAGCCTTTTATTTCCTTTGTAAACTATAATATACCATGTTCACAAAGGAGATAATTTAAGACTGTATTTTTGTCTGTGGGTTTCACTAACATAAGCAGACCACTTGAGCTTTGTTTATGTGGTTTTCTAGTATTGCCAAAACCCCCTTGATTTAAAAATATACCAAATGTGCTGGAGGGTTGAGCAGACTTTTAATTCTCTCTGTCTAGGCCTATATTCTGCATACACTGATCACCCCATGGAAAAGTGGGGACCACAGAGAGACTAAAATTGTTCTTTCCACAATCAGGGTTTGAATATTTCCTAAATTTAATATTCTAGGTGCACTGTATTTTGAACAAATGTTTAGCATTCAGTGTAATAAAAACCAACTTTAGAGTAATAAATGTATGTTTTGCTCAGAGCTAGAAATGGGAAATCAGATTATGAGCCTTTTTTATATATTGTAAGCTTTACTCTTTAATTTCACTTGAGATCAAGTTAAAATGAGACTGAGCAAACACTGTTGGTTTTTTGTCATCTGTTAATACAGCTTGTAGGAATTGGGCTCATGTCACACCTTTACCTCTTGGCTGCTTTACCAAGAAATAGCTTCTGAATGTGCTGCTTCTTAGTTGACCAGCAGTGGCTAAGCAATGGCTAAAATTAAGTTTCTAGAACTGTGTAAAGGTCTGCTGAGCAGTAAGTGCAGCCTGTCTCTTAAATAAGGAAAGGTGGTGGTTGCCATTGAATAAAATTAATTTACCTAGAGTATACCACATATTAATGTTAATGTAATGCATTCCATTAAGTCTTCCTCATCCTCATCCTCAGCAAAGCAGTCTGTCTCAGTTCTGCATTTCCATAAGGCATGTGCTACACACTTCATTGCTCTCTTTGCAGCTCATAGTCTCAGCCAAGCTGCCTCTAATATCTGAACTTTCAGAGGCTTGCAGTATCATCCTTGTTTTATCCAAGTTAGTAATTGGTCTTCTGAAACTTAGTGGAGGAGAAATTTTCTGCAAGCTGGAATTTGTGTCATGTGGTGAAAAACTGGCAGAAGCAATGTTTTGTTCTTTTCCTTCCTTAGGAGGCTGTACTTTTATTACAGTCTTTTAAATTTGTATTTTAGAGTTAAAACACAGGGAAGAAAAGGCCCCTTTTGGAAAAATGTTTATATAGAATGTAGGTCTTAAATTCAATACATATAGAGGGCAAGATATTAATAAACATGCAATATTAACAATTTATACAGTAAAAATTAACAATGAGAAACTAAAATAAGGGAAGCCATGCTGCTCGACCACCCTTACGCTCCAAAGTCTAAAGTAAGCTACTGGATTTTGAGTAATCTTTCATCTGTAATCAATTTGCTTCACACATATAAAGCATGGAAAGCCTTCCAAGTGTGTTTCTCCTTCCCCCTGAAATTAGCCTGGGCTCCGTGTAAAAGCACATGCTGCTTCCTTCTTTCTAGTGCTTGCCATCCACTTTCTGAAACAACCCACACACCCTGCTCCTGAGTTGCTTCTTGCAACATCTGAATGTGGCACGTTGGGTTGTCAAGGGTTGCACAACCCAGAGTTTGAACACATGCCTTATTGTTCGGCTCGGACTCTAGGTTAACCCTCAGTGGTGCAGAGAGCTGGGTTTGCACATCACAACCAACAACATATAACTCATGCATGAACCAGAATGAAAGTCCACTTTGGTTCTCACATTTCCTTAATTTTTTGTAGGGGCTTGTGAAGTTTCCACTGATTTGCAATGCAATTGCATGCTACAGTAAGTAACTTAAGTACAAATTTGAGACCTACCAGTAGATTGTTACAATTTAAATCAACATATTGGGGTTAAAATTAATTTCCACAGCTTAATACTGAAGGTGTTCTATCACTGAACCACCTAAGTTATGCAGGGTATATCATTAAGACTTCTAGATTATTTTGCTGAATGTAACTGTTGATGCTATGAACCTGAGGCAGGGAATCTGTGTTCCTTCAGATGTTGCTGGGCTCCCACCCGTCCCAGCCAGCATAGCTGATGGTCAGGGATGATGGCAATTGTAGTCCAACAATATCTGCATGGACACAGTTTCCTCACCTCTGGTTTAGGTGAAAAGGAAATGAGAACATTTCATGAGGAAAGGGGCAGGAAGAATGAGCAGAACTGCACCAATATTTCATGTGTGTGTGCATGCGTGCATGTTCTAATTTCACTAAAACATTCTGTTTTTTAAGGCCTGTGGAAGATGCTGCAGAATTCCTGGAGCTAGTTCATAAAGGCCTGCAGTTAAGGGTCACACACCCAACACTTGTTCATGCTCATTCCTCACGTTCTCATCTTGTGCTAACCCTGACTATAACAACAAAGGCTGCCTTGGAGGATGACTTGGGTGAGTAGCTTGTTTATAAGACACTTCCAGGGTCACTAGGGAAGCCTCCACACTTGCTTTGTTTTTACTTCAGCATATTTAACCTCTAAAGCACATCTGAAATGTAATCAGACTGTGTTGTGCTGTAACTGAATTCTCAGTTGGTGCTCACTGCCACCATTTCCCATTGTTTAAATTCAGGCTGGAGAAAAACCCGAGAATCACTATTGAGGAATTCTGGGAGTAATGCGAGCACATGCCTTCCTGGCTTAAGCCTGGGGATTTCTCCTCACTCTTCTTGATTTGCTACTCCATCTACTTTAGTCAAAGATCTAAATGCCTTATGTCTGTAGGATGTAAAAAGAACACCATCATAAAAAACAGAATGATAAAATCTTACTATCAACTAGAAAACCCAATACATAACAAAAACTGCTTAAGCATAAACTAGCGAAATAATCCAGACTACACATGGAAAAGATGCATAAAGCACTGTGAAGATTTAAAAGGAAAATCTGTGTTTTCTTCTTTAAAAACTGTGCCCTGAAGGGCAGGTTTGCATGGAACCAGGGTCGTAACTGAGCGGGTCTTGCTTGCTTTCTCCCACCCCAGTTAATGTGACAGCCTACAGCAAGCAGAAATTAAGCAGGACCGATCCTGCTGACATTTATCTGGGTGAAGACAAGAGTAATGTAAGCCCCCCGCCCAAAAACAAGAAAAAAAACCAACCCCCCCCCCCCCCCCGCAATTGTGTCTGGTTTTATGAATGGTAGATACAGGTCACTGCTCTTCAGTTTCACTGCAAATTCAAAGAAATGGCCATGCAGGTTTGAACTGGGTGTAGGTGCTACTGGGCTGGTGTTTGAGGTGTCACCAACCCCTTCCTTTTCACCACACTCTCCAGGGTAGGATTGCCTTGTGCTGTTCTGCTAGCAGAACTGTCTCCAGTCAGAAGCAATCAACCCTACAAATGCCTTGACATTCTCCTGCACTAACTCAAACATCCCGTGTATCTTACTTCACTGTTGTGGATTTGGAAGTAAATGTTCCTCTTGGTTTTTCTTGCCATCATCCAGTTACTCCCTGGGCAGGTGACCATTCCAGTCCACAGGTGGTTAAAGAACGTTTATTCACCTCTCCCCACTCAAGGAACCATGACAAGCCCCTCAATCCTGCCAGAGCTTCTTCGCCAGCACAGGCGGTTAGTGAATCTGTGGAGAAGGTAAAGCAAATGAGAACAAAGCTTCAACTGGTAGATTTGGCAGGCAGCGAATGCGTTGGTAAGTCAAGGTTTCAATAAAACTGGTGAAAGTCTTATGAGATGAAGGAGTCAGTTTTATCTATTTAAGGACAGACTTACAAACAGAAATAGACAGATTCAATTGTAACTATTCTGTGCTATGGATCCTAAACCGTTATTAAAAGCAAGAGCAAGACCAAATGAATCTTTAGCTTAAAGATCTTCTTCAGTGGTATAGAAACTCAGGCTAATGGGCACAGAGAAGCACCCAGGTGCTGGTTCAGAATGGCCCGTCTCACATGAGTTGATGAAAAGGGCAGAGAGCGCTAGGTAACTCCAACATTGGTCACCACTGCTGACTCTCCTGGGGTTCTCGGAGGCTTCGGTACCACTGACCATCAGATTCTTCCAGACAGACTATCTGAGCTGGGAGACAGGTGTACTGCACTGCAGTGGTTCTGCTTCTACTGTCCGGCCAATTTCAGAAAGTGATGCTGGGGGATTATTTCTCTGTTCCTTGTCAGTGATGTTCTATTGTGTCCTCCGTGCTGTTTAACATCTACATGAAACATCTATAGGAGCAAGCAAAATCTCCAACAGAACTTTACAGTGGGAAGTCTCCTGTCCAGCCCATTACTTCGTCCGTTCTCCTTACCGTTCCCGTGTTTCTGTCCCCGTCCCCAGTTACTCAGCACCCCATGGCTGTTGAGAGGTTCAGTCCTCATCGCAAGTCTCAAGGTCCCCAAGCCCGCTGATGCCCCTTCTCTCTTTGGTGGGCGGTACTGTTTCCGTTACATGAGCACAGGCACGTGGAGGATGCGTTTGTTATGCCTCCATATGCCGTAAGCCATGCCTGGCCCCTGACCTGAACTCGCCGCGAGGAACAAGGGGAGAGGGCACCCTGCCGAAGGACAGGCACTCCAGTTTGCTTGCAGAGTACCCAGTTGGCTCTCCAGTTCCTCTGCTCAGTGCCCACCTGTGGACAGAATAAAGGTTTGTGCAGGCTGTTGGTAATGGGTCTTCCTTTTCAGTGTTAAACCACCTAGGAATGCCTGTAATTTAAGACTCTTTAAAATCCACAAATGGTTTAAATGCATCAAGTATTTGTCAAAATTGTCATAATTCAAGTATGGTTTCTTCAGCCTCCTTATGAAAAACAATACCAGGAGGGATCATGTAAATAATTTCCTGTTTTCTTTGCCACCCCCTGGCCAAGTGTTTTTCTTCCCTTTCAGAAACTTGATTATTTATTTCCTAACGGACAAGCTTCCTTACCAAGAAAAGCCACTCAGTCAGACGTAGCATTCCAGGAATAATGTTTTGAAAACTGAACCCATGTTATGAAAGAGACCTTTATCTTGCTGCCAAGTTCTTTCCCCTGGTCACTGTTATTTTTTTAAAGATCGCTTTTAAAGATACATATTTTATTTGTTGTGGGTGTTAAGCTTCCCCCCCAACCAATATGCAGTTGAGCAATAGTGCATATTTCCATTGTTTACTGAGGGCAAACTTTGGATGGTCTGTTCTTTTGAAAGACCAGATCTCCAGGTGGTACCACTTAGCATCTTTAATGAGCTGCAGTGATTAACATTAATTTGTCTTGGCCAGCATTTTACATAATAAATAAATTAACACTGCAATCCTAAGTATGTTGACTGAGAATCAAATCCAACTCTGTTCAGTGGGGTCACTCCCACATAAGTCTGCTTAGAGTTGCAAGCTAAATTCTGTTCTTGAATAGGAGTGCATGAATTTCAGAACAACTTCAACTAGACATAGTGAAATGTTTAAAAACATATTTATGGTGCAATCCTATTCCTATTTAGATATGGGAAAAAGTCCTACAACTCCCAACATTCCCCAGCCAGCCTTTTCATTTGCCCAGTATTTTAATTGGTAATTTGTTTTAGTGATGAGTCTATATTTTAATGGATGCTGGGCAATTGTTATTGTTACTGGGTTTTGGGGGTTTTTTTGGACTAATTGCTGTAAACTGTCCTGAGACTTTTAAGTATGGGATGGTATAGAAAAGTTTTAAACAAACAAACAAACAAACAAACAAACTGTAAGACTTTTTTTTCTGCCTGAACAGGCATATTACAGCTAACCCCAAAAGCAGTCTTTAACAAGCATTTTCTTGGAGCAAAGGTATACTGTTATCCTGATTCTTAAGTTGCTTTTTGCTGATAATATCTGTTTTTTCCAATGTTACTATTTCATTTGAATGCATTTTCAAAGTCGACACTGGTAGGTGAATCACATTAGAGTTGTATCAGTTGTCCGTGGGTTTCCTTCTTGTGGAAAACGCCCAACGTCGCCCTGTGTGTGCATTCAAATGAAATGAAATGGATGTGGTCAAGCTGCACATTCCGGACACTGCCCTGTCCCCACTGTGCTGGAGAGGTTATGGCAACACTGGAACTCTGTTCCATATGTGAGGTTCTCCGCAAGTTCAAACCTTCTGGGTTCAGTAGAGGAATTATATCTTATCTTACGCTGCCCGAGCACTCCAATCCACGGCAGACAATGTGCAAGGGAATTGACCACATGGTGAGGTAACCATGCTTTGTTCATAACTGCATGTTTGGAAGTTGTGTGACACTGGAAAGCACATTCTGAATGTCTGATACAGGGCTAGTTCACCAAAATATGGAAAATTGCTCTCTCAGAAAGATCACAGTAAAGTGTAAGATCACAGAGTCATCACAGTAAAGTGGTAAGAGGCACTGCAAAATCTGACCGATTTGTGGAAATCAGGTTTCCATTTATCACTTTCATACATAAAAGAACCCCACAAGTCACCCTGGGAGCACTGGATATAATAGTGGAGGGTGGAGGCTGATGTGGACTCAGCCAGATGTTCCATCTTACTGAGCATGAAACAGTGACAAACATGGAAACACGGCTTGTATTTGTTTGTATTTAATTATGCTGTCATATTCAAAGTATTTAAACGTTTTTAAAAACCTAATATGAGAAATAGTTCCTCTGTAGAAGAAACATTTTAAAGCTGTTCATTTTAGCCTATGTGTGTTCCATCCCTCTCTGTTTAGCCATCACTGCAAATACTGTGCCAAGTTTTCAACCTGGAAAAGGGACCTTGATTAGTTGTTTCTGGCACTCTTTTGGTGTATTTTCAATATATATCACTTCAAGTTTCAAAATATTTTTGGAATTTTCCTAAGGAGAAAAGGTTTTTTCACCTTTAACCCTAAGCTTATATTCAGTGCTAGATCTGTATTTTGTAACTCTTCTGTTGTACCAGCTGGATAATTGTGCAACATGCTAGAATGTGATATAAAAAGAGATTCTCCGTGTTCAGACTGTATGGAAGTTATAGCAAGAGTTGCATTGTCTCTATCAATTTTATGCAAAGCCAGAAAATAGTTTAAGACTACTTAAATTATCACATCCATAGATCACACCCTTTGCTTTGTTGCAAGAATAAAATGGAGAGAAAGAGGATATATAAGCTGGCTTGGTAACCTGCAAGAAAGAAAAAAGGTGAAATATAAATGATGTAATAATAATAATAAAAATTAAAGATAAACAGACAAAAAATGTTAGCTTAAGTGAATGTGCTATCTTCTTTCATACTGTATATTCAAGATATCGGACATGTTGAAGAAATTTTGCCCTTTCTCATTGATGGGCTTTCTTCCGCTGTGCTAGGTATGTCTGGCGTGACTGGATCAGTCCTGAGAGAGACATCCTTCATTAATCGCAGCTTGTCTGCTCTGGCAGATGTACTTGGAGCCATATCAGAGCAGCGGTCTCATGTTCCATATCGAAACAGCAAACTGACGCACTTACTCCAGGACTCCATCGGTGATTATAACTATAGTAACACTAAGCTGAACTTCCTACTTTTTAGCATTCTTCCATTTAAAAAAATACCTTTAAAAACATTCCTCTGTGTAGTATTTTCACATAGTTCTTAAAATCTACAATTAATATAGAACAGTGAAGGCAAGAAGCATAAGTGATTATACTGAGATGGCACTAGGTCAGAAATCCTCTGGTTGTAAAAAGAACATGTGCTTCTGTAATTTGTGCAGATAAGCACATGATAAGCATGATAAGCAAAACTTTTTGCAAGTAAATGAGTACACCATCACATCATTTTGTCATACCAGGAAAAGTTGCATCTGCTGAAGATCTACCTGCCTTGCAGCTGCTAAAGACACACAAGCCCCACCTGAACAACATGTGTGCACACCTTGTCTAGCTGTCTTTCTCTAGCTCAGTTTAATCATCATCATCCCTGATTTGGACATCTAGGAACATTAAACTACATAATACTGGACGGACAGGAAAGCAGTTCTCTTTTCCTTATGAAAACTTTGAGAATTAGCAACAGAGATGATTGTATGGATTGTGGGCAGTGGAATGAGTGGCACAGGGACTCCCCCTTCACCACCTTTCCAAGGGTCTGTGCAGATTCTGAAGGGAAGGCACTGAGGAACAAGCAATGAGAGGGCAGAAGGCGGATGTCCCGTTTCCCAGATCAACCATGAGAGCAGACATGTTATGGAGGTGGGGGCACTCAGGAAAGGAGGGAGAGCCATTGCTTTGCTGGCTCCCCGACTCCATGAGGAGGTGCTGGGAGAGACGAGCTACCCAGTTACAAGGATTGTGTCGGTCTCACTGGCTGTCTCTCCACCAGCAAGAGCTACCCTTAGGGTAGAGCCTGCAGTGTGAATGAAAGGGGAAGACGGGGAATATTCCAGTTTGGATTCAACTCTCTTGTACTCTTTACATGAGCAGAGGCTCTCCATCAGTTTGGTAGGGGGCTTTCGGAGTTGCATTGTCTTGTTGCCTGTGAAGTACCAATAAACTATAGAACTGGCTGGTATTTTTGGAGCCTGGGGCAAGAAAGGAAGTGTCAGGCTCATGATGGCACGCATTCAGAAGCATCGGTTCCTTTATTGCTTAATATGTTTAGAGCACAATTCTATGCAAGTTTAGCCAAGTGTGGAATGTTGAAAGTTGTAGGGCTTTTTTCTGGCTGAACATGTGTGGGGTTTCTGAAGGTGTGTTCTCCATGCTGATGCTGGGCAACCATGATGCTGTACTTCTATGTAGATGTGGAAGGCATTTAGGTACAGCCCACGGGGAAGTTCTCCAGTGTACCGCACTAAAGTGAATGGAGCTGTGCAGGAGCATAGGACTTGCGATGGTGAGCACTGGGAAGGGATATTATGAATTACTACAGGCAATGAAGTAGCCTGCAGACTCAAGCTCTGTCAAGTTTTTAAAAATGCGATTTTTCAGGAAAACAGAATCATGTTTTTAACCTGGAGTTGTAGTGTAGCTTTGCGTGTGTTCCTTGAAGTATTTATGCCTTCTTTTTAAACTGTGATTCCCTCACCTACTTTTGTGAAAGCAGTGCCTCTTAAAAACAGGCACGGAAACCTGCCGTTTTAGCTGGGCTCCCAGCTTCTACCACCAGGTCCTCAAGGTTTAATCTTAGCACTGTTTAGGCACACTCAAATGCTTTTTCTACCTTTTTAAAACATATGAACGTTTACATTTCAGTTATGTTCAAATCGGATTCAGGGGCCAGCTGACAAGGCCTACTGACCTCTGGGCAAGTCAGCTTCTCAGCATTTGCGATTTATTGAAACGTCATTGAAAATTTATGTCTTGTTCATTTTTCCTTAGGGGGCGATGCGAAGTTGCTACTGGTGTTGTGTGTCTCCCCCAGTCAAAAGTACATCACTGAGTCGCTGCAAACCTTGGGATTTGGGTCTCGTGCACAGCAAGTTCAGAGAGGGCAAGCCAAGAAAAGAAATCAACTAGTGCTGAGCAGATCCAAATAAGACAGAAGACTCCTGTGGATTAAAGCATTATTAATGAGTTCCTAAGACTGAAATGTATCATGTTATCATAAAAATGTAAACTGCCAGTTAAAATAACCCTCCCTCAATGCAGCACTGGCAAGCTATAAACATGCTAAATAATATCTCTGTTCCAAGAATAAGTGGGTGTATTAACAAAGGGAATACCATACAGGATGGTTTAGTACGGTAACTATTTATTTTAGGAAGAGAAATCAGATGATAAAAGAGACCAGTCTCTGAGAAGTAGCAAAACAAGAACACCCACAATTCAAACCTTGGTTATGTAATTTTATTAGTAAACAAGACTGAGGAACCAGATTGTACCAGTACAAAGTGCTGGCAGACTGTGTTTGAAGGTTGTATATTTCAGATATTGCGGTCATAGTACACAAACGCAGCGATTTTTTTATGGCTTAGTTTATGTATTTGTATACTGCCTTTCAATAAAGAGGTTCTCAGGGGGATTAACAAGAAAATAAAAAGCCAGTAACATGTTAAAAATAAAAAGACAGATCAGCAATTAAAAGTAATAGATTAGAACTATTACAGCTTAAAAGATGAGGGATTACTTTAAAAAGTAACCTAGATACCAGGCACTCTTTAAACAAGGAGTAGGCAGTCCTGAAATTCTTCTTCCTTTCTTTAAGCAAGTTTCTAGCCCTTAAACCTATTATACTATAACTATTACTCTTGAGTTAACATGCAGAGGACCAGACTATAGATAAGTCTGAACTACATGCAACATTTTTGATAAAGTCTCAGAATAAGGATTCTCCTAGGCAAGTAACCAAGTTTCAGAAGCCAACACAGCACTTTGTATCTTTTATGACAAACAAGCAGAATAAATTATGGAAAATCAGCCAGTATATGAAATAATGTTTGGATAATTTGTACACATTACAGTATTTTGGGGGGGTGTGGTGTGGGGGGGGAAGGGGGGAGAAAATGCTGAATTCTGGCCTGGGGATTTTTGTACAGAACAAAACACATGCAGTTTTTGGGCTATAGTCAATGATTCCCCAAGTGGAAGAGATCTTACTGGTGATACTACTGAGGGTGTACAAACTATTTATAAATGTTTGCTTGTAATATGCCTATTATTTAAGGATCAGCATTTACCAACATGGCAGAGCAATAAGACAAGTGAACCAACTGACTAGGAAAGTGGTGAACTCTCTGTCTATAGGGGTATTCAAACAAAAAATTGACAGTCTGAATACCTCTTAAGGATGCTTTAAACTAGATTCCTACATTGCATGTAGGGCTGGCCTCAGTGGCTGCATTCACACAACACAACCAGCAACCCTGCAAGGTTAGCATGGTTTGCAGGTTTTTTACTATGATCTACCTGACAGTCAGTCAAGCAATTGCTACTTTAGTGTGTTTTCTGTCCTCTTTTGCTCAGTCTTCCCACTGTTGGCATGTATCCTATTACCCACTGCACCTGAAATTCATTCCCAAGTTTCTGGTTATACTGGGTTATAAGAAAGTTCTGATTTCATGAAGTGCAGATGAAATTGGTTGTAGGATTGATTATGCTTTGATTAATTAATTTGCAGGAAAGGGAGAAAGCTTTCAGAAGTAGAGGGTTGGTGCAGGAATTTAAATCCCAGCTATCCACTCATAACCATCTTCCCTATGAAAGGCAATCTATACATGATATTCCTATGTATCCTAACTCTCCAAATGCTTTCTAAACCATTCAGAAAAATATCAATCATGCACTTATGCAAGTCTGTTCATCTGGAAGTGGCAGGATCTCACTCTGTAGAGTTTAGCTCTGTAAGTACTTAATGCCATTCTCACATTGCAAAGATGTGGGTTTGCAATACTTCTAAAACCAAAGTAAGGAATCTGTTATGTAATTAGAAGCCCTAACCCCCCCATCCCATCCCCGCAACCTTGGCAGTAGGCACATTATAGCAAACATTTAGCACGATATTGCTGGTAAGGAGCAGATAATGACAATTTAGCTTGAGAAGAGAGCTTCCAAACAGCAGCTCTAAAATGATTATTTTAATTTTGCTCACTAACTCACTATATTTCCTTATATTCCATTTCCTTAATTTGATTTCAGGATATAATGGCATCTTGGCTGCAGCCATTTGACTGTCCCTCCCAATACTCTGCCCTACACGGGTGTCCATGCCGTTTGTCTGCCTGCCTGCTTGTTTTCAGGGGAGGAGCACACCTGCACAGCCGCTCATGGTTGTCGTTGGCATGCATGCTGTGCACTGCTGCAACACACCCGAGCACTTTCCTTGTGCGGGTTCTTCATTGCTTAACATCACATTTAGAAGCTTACGCAGAGTCGCAAAAAACCTGACAACTGAACAGCACTAGTGCAAGAGAATGCTGCAATAGGCCTTGGCAATTACAGGTGGCCCATAAATACACGTAAATAAATTAATATATTCGAAAAGCATCAGGAGCTCTAACCAAATTTTATTTGGACTGAGGGGCAGAAAAAAAAAATCTAGGAACAGGAGAGGGGAAACCCCAAAGTCCTTAAACTGTCCTATTTTCACTTGTATTTATACTAGGGAAAAGGGGGTGAGGCTCCCACCAAAAATACTGAGCTTAGCTAGGAAAATCTTCCTGAATGCAGGTACCATGCAGGCGCAGAGCCCAAATGGGTGCATGCACAGGTGACCACTCAAAGAACACCAGCCACAGGTAAGCAACCTTACTTTCTCCTAAAGCTATAAACAAATATCACAACCACAAACAGGAATAAATCGTACAACTGCTGCAGTCATTTTCTGCATTCCCCTGAAACACTAGCAACACTGGATTATGCTGCAAAGTTGCCATATGTGGCTCTGACACACACCGCTCTGCAAAATGAGAATAGCAACACTGGGCTGCTTTGCAAGATTTGTGTAACCTACAACCTTGCCTCCTGCTATATGATATAATCATTATTAATCTTATCTGCATGCATCACTAGGGTAATTTTTGAAATGTTTCTTAACCCAGAAGAAAATTAACAAGACCAGAGCCAGAATGCCAACAAACATGGGTCTTTGCCGCTACTTTCTGTTTTTTGGTAGATATGTTGGCCTGGCTCAGGTACAATAAATTCCTGGATTTCTGTTATTTTCTTTTCACAAGAGAAGACCCCCCCCCCACCAAAAAAAAAGTATAACACATCCAGATAGTCAACAGGTTAACCACTGCTGTGGTTGTACTCACTGGCTAAAAACAGTACAGTAGAACATGGGTGCAGGCTAGCTTCTCACAAAATACACAGAATTGTGCCTGCATGTTTTGTTTTAGTTCTATGAGAGCTGGAGCCTTGCTTTCTTAAAAAAATAAATAAAATCTGGGAATCTAGAAGGTATGGCTTATCCCCAGCAGGTCTAATGGAGCTACTTCAGTGGTCATGCTGGTGTCTACCACCCTGCTTAATCTACAGTTTCTTTCTTCTGAGGCTTGCCCTTATGGTTGGAAACAGAGCAGAGAAGGATGGGGAAGGCCCAACACAGTGGCCACTGTTCCTCTTAGAATTGATGTCATAACTAGAATCTGGGTGAGGCTGCATTCCCTTGTCCCTGTGTGTGGATGTCCATGTGTCTCCCGCCCTCATCTCCCAGCTTGCAAAATAATCAGGCAGTTAAGAGTACCTAGTGGCACTGTAGCTTTCACCCACAATGGCACAATAAACTAATTCATTTTCGAAACCAAAAAACCCTGGGATGAACACCCCTAAGATGTCATTGGCACACATGTCAAGTGACACCCCTAAGATGTCATTGGCACACATGACATGGAACATGTCAAGTTCCAAGTGTCAAGATTTCACAGTCTTGGCAATGTGGGTCTGATACAAATGCAATTCCATTGCAACAACAACTACTATTACTACTACGTTTGAATACTTCCTTTCTTCCAAGGAACTTGCTAGACTTCTGTTGTGCTAACAAGAACCCAGGTTAGGTGGAGAGTGATTAGTCCAAGGTGAGTTTCACAACAGTGTATGAGTTGTTCCCATCTCCCTGGCCCAAGTCTGCCATCCAGTCACTCATGGCTAAAGGTAGAGCTTGTGAACGTGGGCTAAGAACGCAGTATGTTCCTGTTGCAGCATATTATGCAGCATAAAGCCATAGCACCATCTCAATAAGCAGGGTCAAGGAATATGTGCTTCCCTCCTACGCTCTTTCTGTCATCTTTGCAGCACATGAGAACGTTGACAAGGGTCTGCGGTCAACATGACAGCAGGAAAAGAGATCCAACCAATGCTAAAGATCAAGGGCAATTCAGTGGTATGCGGCGGGGCTTTCATAACATCTCATTTGTTTTATGTGCTGCTTTAATACTCTGTGGAGGCCCATGATTCACTCTCTGATTTTCTTCTGTGATCAGAACTGCCTCCAGTCTTGGGACAGAGGTCAGTGGTGGGTCACTGCGAGGAGACTTAAATTGCAGTTTGCCTACCCAGAAGGCTGGAGCTCAGCACACTCCAAGCCTCTTAACCTTCCCAAGCATAAATATTTACCCAGAAATTTTATAGCATGCTCCAATTGGAATTTCACCCTTCAACATCTACCAGCTGCTGCATGATGCAGGGAGCTGTATGCGGTATGGCCTCTGACCTTTAGAAATGTTTGAATTGCATTCACATGACTGTACGCTGCAGTGTTAGGAGTAAAATGGCTGCACACGTTGCCTTTACTCTAACAGGCAGATAAACGTGCAAGGAGGGAACTCTGTGGCCTCAAGGAACTGGCTGAGAGAAGCCACCACCACATAATTTGTGTGTAGTGCTGCTCCACAGGCCACTGTGCATGCATATCATTGGAGGGCGAAGAGGCAACAAATTCTTTTACGACAGAATGTGGGCGGGCACATGTCTTTACTTTGGAGACTATGTTTGTTAGTGGAGAAAAATCACTACCGAATAACACCTTTCTGTAATGGTTATTATGGGTTGGGCTGAATGCATTCCTTGTGTTTTCACTCCAGGGCCACTGTGTCGAGGCAGTTCTGTTTTGCAAAGCCTCCAGCACTTTGCCTGTCATCCCTTTTCTAGAGTGAAACGCCTGGAAAACAAAATGCAGTTTGCCTCGCTTGCTTCAAGCTTTGCAGCAGTCTCTGTCAGGATCCCTAATTCACACTCCGGGCTGCTGAAATGCCGGCTTTGCTCG